AGTTACTATAGAATTCCAGTTCTTGGGGCGCCTGGGTGGCTCAGTGGGTTAAGCCTCTGCCTTCGGCTCAGGTCATGATCCCAGGGTCCTGGGATCGAGCCCCGCATCGGGCTCTCTGCTCAGCAGCGAGCCTGCTTCCCTTCCTCTCTCTCTCTCTGCCTGCCTCTCTGCCTACTTCTGATCTCTGTCTATCAAATAAATAAATAAAATCTAAAAAAAAAAAAAAAAAAAAAGGCCAGTTCTTTAATTACTTTCAACTTTATAAACATGCATATATACATAAATGTAAGCACTGTCTGCATATTTTATTAAAGGTAATCTTTCAATCACCCCATTGCTCTAAGCTATTTGTACCTCCTTTGGGCTAGAATTGTTCAAAACATTTTTGTCATACTTTTTGTTTACTAATTTTCCTTTTGAGTGTAATGAGTTGGTGACCTGGTAACTTCCAAAGGGTAGCAATTATTTGTTTTTAAATATCATTATGAATTAATAGGTTTTTAGACCCTTGTGTTTAGAACCCCTTTGAAGGAAACTTAAATCTATGTTCAATCAGGGATTAAAAAAGCAGGTATGAGAAGTTAAAAGCTGATTTTGATTGTCATGTTTTTATAATAACCGAAATATTTTATAATAAATTAAACAAAATAGACTGAGTTGGTTGTAGGAGCCATCAATGCTGCTGAGGGTTTGTGTTTACAATCAGTAAATTCATTTTGTTTGGAACAGGGGCATAATGGAACTCTGTGTTAGGGGAAACTTGCCAGACAGGGTGAGGTCCGAGCCTAGAAGCAGCTGGATTTATCAAGTAGGTGCCAAATTTTCAGGCGCTGGGATAGAATTATACTTTTGTTGATAACGGGCTGTATAGTATTCTCTGTTGGAGTCTAGCAAATAGCTGTGGTCAAGGAGATTCCCAAAGAGTATGGAAATGAGACTTAAGGACGAATCAGTCACGTGGCACACACCTGTTACTCGTCTCTTGCATTGTGCGGAAGCTGTATTGAAGCTAACGTTTATGGAACAGAAGTTATCTGCCAGGCATTCTGTACATGGAGTTTGTATCCCATCTTCACAGCAACTCTGGATGTTGGTGTAATATTTTCTACCCATTTTACAGAAGGGGGACACTGACATAAAGTATCTTGTCCAAGGTCACAGTGCAGAAGATTCAAATCCAGGTGGTCTGACTCCAGAGCTTGTGCTGTTTAAACTGTTTTTGCGTGCTTTATAATTTGACCATAACTCTGCAGCTTATTTTGGCGATAAAAAAGTAGGAACCTTATTGTTGAGACCCTCCTGTGGCATGTCTCCTGGGACAAGAAGAATGTGATCCGATCTAGTTTAAAGACCCGAGAGCCAACTTGGGGAGTTTTTGCTATTCAATGGTTGTTCAACTAGGTGACTTTCCATAGTTGAGCAAATAAGGTAGCTGTTTATGCCTGTATTGGATAAACGGTGTTCACTTATATTTTTTCTTGTTATTTTATAAAGACTAAGTGACACTTTGAAAATGAAGTAGGTTTGAGAATTACTAATGACGCAGCATGTTCCTGAATATCATACATATAGTTGGTGGTTATAATACTTAGAGTTAACTGAAGACCTTGTAATTTGTTAGGTGAAAGCAAAAAAACACCTTTTTCTCTTCATTCTGAGTACTCATGTCTTTTTTCATACTAGAGCAACTTTGAGAAATAAAATGTAAGTTCCATTTGAACATGTTTTAGACACATTGACTCTGAGGGGCACCGTTGTGAACTTCTCTAATATAGTGACTGGATTTGGAGATGAGGAGCTGAACTTGAGATGGAAATTTTTCCCCCCAATTTGATATATATATGTATTTACTTAGAAATCTGTGTTTCAAGCTATCAGAGCACAGAGGACTTGGGTAGTTTTAGAGGCTGGGCTGTGTACTCTTGCCCTGGGCAGAGTCCTGATTTGGGAGGTGAGGGGTCTCTTTGCAGAGGTGTTAAGCCTTCAGATAGTGAGACCTTGGGCACAGGGACTCAATTCATTCATGAAAAACCAAATCACTGATCTAGATATTCAGTCTCTTCTATTACTGAAAAGATTGTGATGCAATGGAGCTTTGTTCTTTAAGTATCTCTAATATGTTTGGGTGATGCCTCTAGATCCAGAATCAGGAAATTGCTTCCCAAGATCCCTCTTGGTGCCATAGGTTATATAACTACTGAGAGAAGAAGGCATGGGAAGGAGAGAAGACAAGAGGATCAGAGACCTGATTAGGCCAGTAAAGTAATTCCAAAGCCTTTCTTACACATTTTCAGTTTGTGAACTTCTGTATAAAAATGGGCAAAAGCTACCCACCAGACTGAAGGTGTCTCTGTCTGTCCTAACAACTGGCTTAGTGATCATGGACACTCATTTCAGTTGTGGTTTATTACCTGGGTGTTAGTGTGTATTGAAGGGTGTGGGTATGTTGATTGCTTGAACTTATTTTTGACATTTTTGAACATTTATTAACACATAATAGTGTGGAAATGCTAAGAAAAGGTATACGATTGCCGTGGAAAAGAAAGTGAAACTTAACTTTACATAGATGTGTTCACATTGGTCACTGGTAGAGAGTCACTTTGTATTTACAAATAAATGGATTTGGAATGGGCCTTTTGGAATCTATACCTTTTACAGAGAAACTTTTGTTACCAGGAAACATCCTTGATTGTGGTTATACTTTCTTTTTAAAGATTCTATTTATTTGAGAGAGAGAGCGCAAAAGCAGGGGGAGGGGCAGAGGGAAGAGGGACAAGCCGACTTCCCTCTGAGCAGGGAACCAGGCACAGGCTCAATCGCTGGACCCTGAGATCATGACCCAAGAGCCCCCCTGGCACCTCAGTATAATCCTTTTTACATTACTGTGGGCACACAGGTTTGTGAGGTACAGAAGGTATTTTTAGACAGTGGTTACTTCCCCAGAGAAGATTTGCTGTATTTTGCTCCCTGGCATATTGTTTTCAAAATAGCAGGCACTCAAACATTTATTCAGTTGAATTAAGGAGACATAATTTTCAAATGTGAAACAATTTGCAGTTAGTGCTAACTTAGCGGACCGGAAGTGCTGTATTTCTGAAGGGAGTGATTCCAATAGGTGGAGGTGTAGAGATTTGGGAGGTTTATGAAAGAAACGGGACTTGATACTTGAGTGAGATAGATGTGAATGGATGCTGAGGAGGGAGAGGTATTCTGGGAATGGGGAATAAATAGTATTTAAGAAGAGAGGCAAGAATGAATACAGTCTGTGTGAAGGAACATAAGAAGGAGACACGTAGGTGGCCAGTCAGTTAAGTGTCTGCCTTCGGCTCAGGTCATGATTCCAGGGTCCTGGGATGGAGCCCTGCATTAGGCTCCCTGCTCAGTGAGGGGTCTGCATCTGCCTCTCTCTGCCCCTCCTCCCTGCCTTTGTTCTCTCTCTCTCAAACAAATAAAATCTTTTAAAAAAGTGGGGGAGACCATAAGAAAGCAAGTACAGTACAGAAGAATGAGATTGGGTAATAATTTAAGGGGAAAGATTGTAAGTAACATTTGTCCAAAGCCAAATGTTTGTCTTATGCTTATATGTCTGTCCATGTTCAGTTTAGGTCAATGCATTGTTTTCCCCTCTAGTTATGGTACATTGCTGAAAAACTACTTGAATGCACTAAAAATAAAAATGCTTTTCTAGTACTGGAGTTGAACTCGTTATAGAAAGAGGTGGGGTGGAATAGATGTGGGAGACTGCTGGGTTAGAATCAGTTCAATGAATAGAAGTAGCACCTGAGTTGGATTCTTAAACCTTATTTTATTTTGGTTCCCAGTTAGGAAAATTACAGTTATCCATGATGACCCATAGGGTCCAGAGTATATAGGGAATCAGCTTTACTGAAATTAGGAAATTGACTATTTGATTCGGCTGGCATATGCTAGTTGGATTTAAGTTTTCAGGGAAACTAATTGACCAGCTCAGCTTCATTCCCTAATTTGTCTCTTTGAAACTAAAATTGTAAATGCTGTTTCCAAGTAGTAGATGTAATTTAATGTGGTAATTTTTGTAATCTTTCATTTCATATCACATTTATAGCCATAAACATACACAGTATTTCATAAAATTGTGATGAATTAAAAAATTTTTCCTTCTACTTTTGTAACTTTTTTTTTTAAATAGGAAACATCTTTGACAGGCACTTTTTAAGCATTTCTCCCTCCACTGCGAAATTGTTTTCACTCTTAAGTTGCGTTTCTGTTTTTCTACTATTGTAAAGTGCAGTTCTTTGCATGTTTTAATTTGCCATGACGTGGTCAAGTGCCGTTTCCTTCCTGTTGCTTGCAAGCCTGTGCTAGAGATAAGGATACATTTCAGTGCATTAAAAAAGAAGCCACTGAAGACAGGCTTAAGCATGGTAAAACATTCTACTTATCAGAAACCTTTTTAAAGAACAGAAAGAATGGACTTTAATATCTGTTTATTTTTTAAAGCTCTTAAAATAGTACTTACTAAACTTTAAAGTATTAGACAGATTTAAATTCTTATGTATATTAGGCATAACAGGGTACTGTATGTGTTTCTCCTAAGGCAAAAAATATACAGATGAAATTACTCATGGAGTAGCAATTCCTGTGCGGTTTGCTGGGTTACTGGCAAGAAGGAAATTGTTTATATGTCCTTTATTGCAATTACAAACCTAGTTATTGCTGGGTGGATTTTTTTTTTTTTAAGTATTTGGTACTTTAACTATAGTTTAACTGGGGTGAGGGAAGAAGAGAGAATGGCTGCACTTTGAGAAATGAGAAGCGATTTTATCTTAGCAAGAATGAAATTTTTGAAGAAAATACATATCCAACTTAAAAAGAAAAAGCCTGTGTTCATCAGTCATGTTAGTTTTGTTTAAAAACATTAACAAAAAACACATTGGAGATACTGTCCTCAATATTTATTGTTATATTCTAAATGGGTATGATTGCTTTTTTCATAACTAACTTAAACTTCTATTTTTCAGGCCAAGAAGCTCTAGACAAGAAAAATTTCAGAAAAATTGCCTCTGTTTGACTAAAATACCAGTGAACCAAGAAAATTTGAAGCGCCATCCCTAAAGAAAACCTGGTTTACAGTAACTTCACAGACTTAGCTGAGGGTTTTTTACCCAAATTGGTCACTGGATTCTGCTGCCTCATACTTGAACCTGCTTGGAATTTTTCTCATGTGGATCTAAGGGGAATGCTTTATTATGGCTGCTGTTGTCCAACAGAACGACTTAGTATTTGAATTTGCTAGTAACGTCATGGAGGATGAACAACAGGTATGAAACCCAGAGAAAATTGGATTTTTATAAGTTTATTATTATTCTTCTTCCATTTGCAACAGAAAATTATTTACTTTAAAAGACAGTAGGAGAAACTTTATTAATGTAAAAATGTAGATACTAAAAATTTGATGATAATTGTGATCCTGTGTTTTAAGTACTAGTTAATTTGTCAAAGAGTTTAATCCTTAGCTTTGATGTGGGACAAGGAAGTAATAATTTCAGGGTTAAGCTTTTTTTTTTTTTTTTTTTTTTTTTTTGTAAAATGAGACTTAGCAATAAATAAAATACCTTAAGTAATTATTTCACTTAAGTGATTTGAAAAGTTCTATATGACATACCAACAAGACATGTACATTTTTTTGGTAATACAGGACTTGTGGTTGTATTAGTTGCTTGCAGTTCTGCAGTTTAAATGCATGTGGTTAATTAGTATTTATAATCCTGGGCTAGTTTTTCAAGTGGATGGAGAGATGTTAGCAGTCCCATAATCATGTATTGCTTCAGTCCAAAGCACATGATTCTGAGGAAGTCACTTAACTTCTCCAGGTCTAGATTGCATCATCTGTTGAATGGGAGGATCGAACTGAAGAATTTCTAAGTTGGCTTTCACTGAGCTTATGTTCATGATATTCCAGTTACTGTTTCTAGAATGGGAAGAAGATCCAAGAAACATTGAGAAAAAGGATCTAAGTTAATTCTAGTCTCCCTGCTCCTCTGCCCCACCCCCACTTCAGGGGGTCTCGCTAGAGGTTCCTGGGACTTTACAATTTATTTCATTTTATTTTTAAAATTTTTTAAAAGATTTTATTTATTTGTCACAGAGAGAGAAAGAGATCATAAGCGGGCGAGAAGCAGTCAGAGAGAGAGGGAGAAGCAGGTTCCTTGCTGAGCAAGTAGCCCAGGACCCTGGGATCATGACCTGAGCCAAACACAGACACTTAACCGACTAAGCCACCCAGGAGCCCCTAATTTACGTCATTTTAGATAGGTTATGTGAAGATGTAAGACATAATTGGGAGAAATGCTGTGTTAGACTCAGTATACTGGCAAAAACATTTTGAGGGCGTTTAGGTTTAAAATATGCTGAATAAATTGATTTAGATACTGAAATAAGCCTAATCCCAAATATCTAACATTAATAGGCCAATTACAATGTATCATACTTTTATTCTAGAAACATAGTTATGACAGAAAATAAAATTGATTCTTACTTTGGGTGGGGCATTATATTTCATTGCTGTTTGTATTGTCTGTTGAGGTGACAGGATTAAAAATTTCTAAGTAAACCTACAAAATATGAGAATTTGCATTGAGGTACCTTAAAATCAAGATGAGCTTTGGCTGGGAAGGAAAAAAGTTTGAGGGGGAGGATTGCTTGGTCCCAATTAAAAATATTAATGGGTACATGGATTTAATCTAGAGACAATAGAAAGGATATTTTAGGAAAGAAAGTATTTTGAATTTGCTTTAAAACAGAATATTTCTCTGTATGTTAAGGTTTGCAAACTGTGTGTTTACTGTACAGCCCTTGTGATGAAAGAGTCCAGGCTCGCTGTGGTGAGGTTTGTTCTCTGTGTGGCCACAGAGGACAGAGCTCGAGGCCACTCACTGGTGTGCTCTGTGCAGTGACTTTGACACTCTTCTGACTGTGAGAAACACATTTTACATCATGGTGCAGTATTCGTACCCATGTCTACATAGCCTTAAAACTAGTTTTGCGCTTAATCTGTGTGATGCGCTTAATTTATCTCACAGAGGTTGTTAATATAGTCTTTGAATAGGGAAATGATGCTTAAGCATAACATCAGAGTGCTCATACGTGTTTTTTTCTTGTTATTTTCATCAAAATGCGTGTATACATTGTTATATATATTTGCTTTCTGCAGGTATTATTAAAAGGACTTTACAAATATTAGACCTGAGACAAATAGCATTATCCCCCTTTTATGATGAGGAAAATGAGACAGAGAGAGGTTAAACGATTTCCTTGAAACCCTAAAGCTAGTCAGTAGTGGAGTTGCAATTTGCACCCGAGCAGTTTGACTCTCATTAGTGTTACTCTTCCACTGAGTTTATATAATAATTCACTGGTTTATAATCAATGTCACAACTTGGCAGGTTTAGCGTTGTCCAGCCTATGGCCATGAGCACAGCAAACTTCACTGATCATATGGGGCAGATCCAGTCGTGTCAGTCTTACTATTAGCATCATGGTTCTACTTCCTGGTTTGCTTGTTAGATTTGTTGTGGTTTTAAGATTTATTTATTTATTTTGAGAGAAAGTGAACAAGCCTGGGGAGAGGCAGGGGGAGAAGCAGATTCTTTGCTCGATCCCAGGACTCAGGGATCGTGACCTGAGCCGAATGCAGAGGCTTAACTGGCTCAGGCCCCCAGTTAGATTTTTTTTTTTTTGATCTAAAAGTAATAACATGCCAATTGCAAAAGAAGGCACCTAATATAAAAATATGTTTTACCCTTCCTGCCTAATCCATTTCTCCCCAAAACCAAAAGACACCATTATTAACATTTGATGTTAATTTTTTAGACAAAGACCCCCGAAAAAGAACACTGTATGTACATACAAACCTACATAAAGAGGTTGTTTTTAAGATACAAATGAAAGTATGCTAAACCTTTTTTGTGACTTACTTTCACTTACTGTATTGTAAATATGTTTGTGTGTGTGCTGGCTCTGCATCACCTATTTTTTATACATGATGGCTGATCGTTATTAGTTTACCAATCTTTGATCATGGACAAGACAGACTTACCAGTATTTTGCTCTTATAAACAAGATTGCAGTGGACGTCCTCATTTGGGAGGCAATAGACCTATAGTAGTTAAGAGCTCAGATGCTGGAGTCAGAACATCTGGGTTTGACTCCTTGCGCCGCTTATTACCTCTGTGACTTTGGACAGATTACTTAACCACTCTCTGCCTTGGTTTCCTTATCTGCAAGATGGGAATGATAATACCAGACCCTATATTGTAGGGTTATTGTGAGAATTAAGTGAGTTGATCTATATAAAGTTCTTAGAACCATCCCTGATCACTCTTGTTTCGTTATTGTACACACACATGTGTATCTTTGTACACTTGTATGATTATTTCATTAAGATTTCTAAAAGATTTACTGAGTTTACTCATTGTATACTGAGCATAAAATACTACCAAATTGTTCTTCAAAAAGTCTGTTTCTACTACCACTAACAGTGTATGTCCCAAAGTGTCACTAACAGAAAGCCTTTTTTTTTTCCCCCTTTTGGTAAGTCATTTGGGTGAAAATGATATTCTACTATTTTAATTGGCATTTCCTTGATTGCTAGCAATGAGATTGTTAGGTTGTTCTTTATTTACTATTCATTTGAATTTCCTTTGAATTACCTTTTAATCTTCTTTTGCCCAGTAATTCTTTATATATTATGAATAATGCATTGTCTTCTAACTCATTCATTGTATAGTTAATGGTTAGCTTTCTTTGTGACATAGAGTGCAGATATGTTTTCCCTATCTGGTATCCTCTTTTAACAATATGATATCTTGTACCCTTTAGCATTTTAATTATATATGTCATAAAATCTACCAGTATTTCCTTTTTTGTTTGTTTCTGCTTAGGAAAGCTTCCCTCACACTAATATTAAATATTCTTTTTATATCTTCTTCTAGTTTATGCGTTTAACTCCTCAGTATATATGGAATGTATTTTAATAAAATGTGAAGTATAGGGATCTGATAACTGCCTTCTTCCACCAATGGGGATGTTGGCTCTTCATGATTTGTGGAGTATTTTATGATTTTCACACTTAAGACTGCCATCTCTGTTATACTAAATTACCACATGTACTTTAGTTTTGAACTTGCTAGCGTATTTTATTCGATTTAACTTGTTTTTATTATGCTACTATCACATTGCTTTCAATAGTATCACTTTATAGATTTGAAATCTGATAAGATATCCTCTCTCCTCTGCATTAAAAAATTAGTATAGTGTTTTGAATGACTTTTAGAATCAGCTTCTTTTTTTTTTTTTTTAAAGATTTTATTTATTTATTTGACAGAGAGAGATCACAAGTAGATAGAGAGGCAGGCAGAGAGAGACCGAGAGAAGCAGGCTCCCTGCTGAGCAGAGAGCCCGATGCAGGACTCGATCCCAGGACCCTGAGATCACGACCTGAGCCGAAGGCAGCGGCTTAACCCACTGAGCCACCCAGGCGCCCCTAGAATCAGCTTCTTAAGTTACATAAAACTGTTGGGATTTTAACTTTTCAAATTTAAAAAATATTTGTGTCATTTGAAATAATTCTGTTGGGGGCACCTGGGTGGCTCAGTCGGTTGAGCAGCCAACTCTTAATTTTGACTCGGGTCATAATCTCAGGGTCTTGGGATCTAGCCCCAGGTCAGCCTCCATGCTTAGCTTCCTCTCCCTCTGCCCCTCCCTTCACTGGTACACACATGCTCCCTCTCTCTATCCCTCTCTCTCAATAAATAAATAAATCTTGTAAAAAATAATTCTGTTTTATGATCCTGTATTGGTTTGGTTGGTTCTTTACAAAATCACTGAAGACACCAGATTAGAATACATTTCCTGTTTTGAGTTACGGTCTGTGGTTATAAATGTCATCTAAAGAAACTGACACCATTAAGGTCTGGTTGCCACCACCTTGATTGTCTTCCCTTGTATCGATTTGTACTCTTTTCAAAATTGCTGGAAGAACTCCTTTGGGCAAAGATGGGTGTGGGAAGATGGTAGTGTTGGAAAGGAAACACCATTATTGGAGCTGACAAGCCACTTTTAAAAATCTACCCTTGATGTCTGTTCAAAACTGGGAATATTTGTAGCTGACAACGACGTTCTTCTGTGGGAGAGCAACACAGTCAGTATTGAATTGCAGTAGGTACTTTTATTTGAAGGTGCATTGGTTTGATCTTATTAAACAGGTATGTTTGCCTGGGGAATGAGTGAGAATAAGAAGAAATCTGAAGGCTGTGGATAC